TGCCCGCCTCGCACAAATCTTCAAGGAAATATGTGACAGCATCATATCCTACAAAGGTGAAAGTGACACTCCTGAAAAAAATCTCCATGGAGGCTTTTTAAGCCTCTGGAACAATGGACTCTCTGAATAGAAAATACTAGGAAAAAAAAAAGAGTTTATTTCAGGACATTAAATAACCTTCCTTTTTTTCTTTTTTTTAATTTTCCTTTCTCCTGCTACAGTAATCACTTTGCTTTATCCTCAACCCCTTCCTCTGCCACCGGATTCTGCAGATGTGGCTATCCTTTTAAACTGATTTTTCAGTAGTTCAGCAGAATGGTTCAATGGATGGAATTGCCAGGAGACTGTCCTCCGTTTTGATATCTGTAGTCTGATTGCAGCAACCAGCTTCTAGAAATGCAAAAGCATTTCAGTTCTCTGTGCCTCACGTAGCAGAAAAGCCTTTTTTTAACCTAGGTTGCATGCTGTTAGTTACTTGTCTTTAAGCTTTGCTCAGGTTGCTAAGCCGTGTGTTCCTGTTACAGATTCCTCCAGGCAGGCTCTGGCTGCTCCCCTCCTGAACCTGCCCCCAAAGAAAAAGTGAGTACTTGCTGCTCAGAGCAACCCGTAGCTCTCTCTAATGGCTTTGCACAGCTTTGAAATGCTAGTGAAAATGACATTGCGCACACGTTCCCGTTTTAGAAACGCGGACTATTACGAAAAGATCTCTGACCCGTTGGACCTTGCCACAATTGAGAAACAGATCTTGACGGGCTATTACAAAACCGTGGAGGCTTTTGACGGGGACATGCTGAAGGTCTTCCGGAATGCAGAGGTGAGGCTCTCTCTGGCCTTAAAGCTATTGCATACCCTGCCTTAATGCTCTTGCTGACTTACAGTAAAAAAAGAAGAAAAATATTTTAGAGAAAGAGAACTTGTGATGATCTGTTTCTGACGAACAGACGTTGATGGCAACTCATCTCCTTCAGCTTACTCCTGGTGCTTTTTGGTTGCCTTACATCAGACAAATAAAAGGTCAAGAACATGCATGAGCAGCTAAGTTAAAGAAATTTCAGTACCTCTTGGAAGAGGTACGTTGTTCTTCAGTGTCGTATGTGCTGTTTGGAGTACGGAGGTAGACAGACGGACGTGTGCCACGCTGGGGGATGCAGCTGTATCAAAGACACCTCCAAGGGTGCCTGCAGCCAGGAGGAGTGCACCAAAAGCATGGAACCGGGGGAAAAAATATTTTTTGTTTCTTTGTTTTGTGTTTATTCAGAAATATTATGGCAGAAAATCTCCAACTGGACGTGATGTATGCCGGCTACGGAAAGCGTATTACAACGCTCGCCATGAGGCGTCTGCCCAAATTGATGAAATTGTGGGAGAAACCGCGAGCGAAGCTGACAGCAGTGAGACATCGGTCTGTGAGAAAGAAAATGGGCATGAGAAGGACGAAGATGTGATCCGATGCATTTGTGGCCTTTACAAAGATGAAGGACTCATGATCCAGTGTGAAAAGTGCATGGTGAGGCAGGGGGAACACAAAGTGGAGCCTGGTGCACTTTTTCTGTTCTCTGTAACCAGTGGAACTTTTACCAGCAGTTTCCATGTGGCTGGTAGCATTAGTTACCACTTCAGACCTTCATTTCCTCTCCGCATAATTGGGAGATTCTGTTTTCACAGAGGAAATGCAAGTTGCAAGTTGCAAGTTGCATATGGAGGAGCTGGCACTTTTCTGAAGCTGCCAGCAGCTCCTGTCTTTAGGCGAGCAGAATTAATTTCAGGATTTTTGGGCTTTTACACAAACAGTTGCATGGGGATCTTGTCTGTCTTCTGAAATAGTTTTTTAAAAATCATTAATTTTCTTTGGGAAGGTTGTTTTCTTGCTTTCCTTAATATTTTTGAGAAAATGCAATTTGTAAATGAGATCTGTCACAGGACTTTCCGATTGCGTTGTGTCTTTTTCTAGGTCTGGCAGCACTGTGACTGCATGGGTGTGAATTCCGATGTGGAACACTACTTGTGTGAGCAGTGCGAACCTCGATCTGTCAACAGGGTAAACAAAAAAGTCTCCATTACTACAGTTAGAACCTGAAGCAGCTCTTGCCTTTGTATTTATTGACATTGGCAAGATCGGTGTGAGACTCTCCCTTCGTAGCATAGCTTCCTTGGGTTAGGTTCAGTCACATTGTCAGTTCTTCTCTGTCCACTTCTGCGCGTTTCCAAAAGGGTATCGGCCCCACATTTGGTGGGGATCTCAGAATTTCTTTCCTTTTTCTTTTTTCGCCCAGGAGGTTCCTATGATTCCTCGTCCCCATTATGCCCAGCCTGGCTGTGTTTATTACATCTGCTTGTTACGGGATGATCTGCTGCTGCGCCAAGGTACGTGCTAGCTCAGTGGCTGCTGTGATTGCCGTCAGATGAGAGTGGACGAGATTTCTGGCATCATCCTGTTGGAAGTGCTTCTATCTTTTTACAAGTAGAAGGCTTGTTTTTCAGCCCTTTCTGAGTTCTGTTTGCCTTTCCTGAGCTACGCATCTTATTTGAGTTCTGCTGGAATAATCAAAGGCTTGGGGCTTCTTGGTCATTAATTTATTTTCTTAATAATAACAACCTAAGTGTCTTCTCTCTTAAAGATTTATTCTTGAAACATTGCAGCTATCACTAATTTCTACACATTTTCCTAATCAACATTTAGTTTGTTACATATCTTGCGGTCTATCATAATTTATCTTAAATTCACTCTGGGCGTACAATTCAAGTCATGTTTAGTTCTTGCTATAAAGCTTCTGTGAAAACGATCGAGGTGACCTTCCTCCCTTTGGGGTTCTGCACTGGTTTGGCATCACTCTTTACGATTCAGCACTGGGTAGCTCTGCCATGTTCGTTTTACTGAAACCATTTGCTCCTCTGGTGTGCTGGGCTCATTACAAGCTCTCACAGGTGTGTATTTTGTGCCTCTTGCCAGGTGATTGTGTTTACCTGATGAGAGACAGCCGCAGAACGCCCGATGGACACCCTGTCCGGCAGTCGTACCGGCTGCTGTCCCACATCAACAGGGAGAAACTCGATATTTTCCGCATTGAAAAACTCTGGAAAAACGAGAAGTACGTTCAAGGCGTCTTTTGAATTTGAGACATCCCGTGTAGCTGCCTGTCAGAACACAGTAATTTTGTGGAAGTTTTGTCATAGCTTGAAAATGCGGGACTGAACATGGCTCGGTTATGAAGACTCGATGACCTCCCACTTGTGGCAAAGTAAAAACACGTACAGTTGGAGGTTTGAGCAAGGGATAAGAGACAGAAGTTGATGCTCTTTTCTCACTGGTGGGATAGGCTGAGAATACACCCTGGCAGCTGGAGTGGCTCCGCTAACGATCGCTGACCTGCTAAGCCACTGTAACATGATTAAATGCACCTGCCCCATAGGTAGCAGCACAGCGAGCCTGCTCTGCTCGTAAAAATCACACCAGGGGTATTTCCACTTACTGAGGGGATGCAGTTGAACGTGTAGTATTCATGTGACTGTGCTTCTCATGACAGTCTTTGCAAAAGCGCAGGATAGATAATTCAAAATTAAACTGAGAGCTTTAAGTATCATGGGCTTATAGAAACAGTCTTATTTTTCCCCCTTTCTGTTTTTCTCTTTCTCTTACCTTTACACCTTCAAACAGAGAGGAGCGGTTTGCATTTGGTCATCATTATTTCCGTCCACACGAAACACATCATTCCCCTTCTCGGAAGTTTTATCACAACGAGCTCTTCCGGGTGCCACTGTATGAAATCATCCCCTTGGAGGCTGTGGTGGGAACCTGCTGTGTTCTTGACTTGTACACCTACTGCAAAGGTGAGGAGACTTCACAGGATGAGAAATTAAATGTAATACACCTTTCTAATAATTTGGGAAGTCTGCTGAAATAGCCACTGCTGTGAAAAGGCAGCAGCCAGTGTTTGCAGGGTATCAGAGCTGGGGAAGCGCCGCAGCTCTAGCACTGGGGCAGCACTGGTGGGATTGTGGTGGGCAAGGAGAGAAAGTGATGGCAGTCGATTAGTTTTTGTAGAAGTTTGGATACTATTTGATTAAAGTGTACAGGTTTTCCTCTTCGATTGCACTAGCAATGTATCCACTGTTATTCTGAATCCAGGAGAACAAATAGGACTGCCTGCCGTCCCGCTGGGCAGCTCTGGCAGCCCCCTCCTTCTCGAACACTGCATGGCTTGTTCTTGTTCTGCAGTACCACGCGTTTCCGCTGGAATCCAATTAACATTTTTTCCCTACGTGCTTTGTTTTGAAACTTCAGGAAGGCCAAAAGGCGTGAAGGAGCAGGATGTATATATTTGTGATTACCGCCTTGATAAATCGGCTCATCTCTTCTACAAGATCCACCGGAACCGTTATCCTGTATGCACCAAGCCTTATGCCTTTGACCACTTCCCCAAGAAACTCACACCCAAGAGAGACTTCTCAGTAAGTATTTCTTATCTTAGCTTCCTGACTTTTTCCTAGAAGACTGGATGTATTTTTTGAAAGCCCCTGGCTCTCTGTTTATGAATGAAGCTTGGTAAACCAAAGGAAGCTGACAGAGTGTGGATGAAAAGTTGGCTAGAAAGCAAGCTTGGAAAGAAAATGGGTTCGTTTCACTATCTTATTTTCCCCTGTTCCATGGAAGCAGCAGCTCTTCATTGTGCATGTCTTCCTACACAGCACTAATTTGTCTCTGAGTGCAGAGGTATCAGATCTGGCAAATCTTGGGCAGTAAGCACTTTTCTTCCTGGAAGCAGAGAGATTTTTGTAGTAAGCTTAGAGATGGTTCCAAACTTCGTCTGTGCAGAAGGCAAAGATGATTTTTATCATGCTGGTCTATGGCTTGGAATTTATTTAGAAGATGTGAAGAATCAGATAATAAGCCTGGCTCTAATTTATCCTTATTACATGATTAAGTCTTCTCCTTTGAATTCATCTGATGTGCGAGATATGCCAGCCACGCGCTATCATTTCCAAAGTGTCAGATAGGCAAGTCCTGTATTGGTCCTTCCAGAATATTAGACAGACTAGACTTTCTTACACTGTGAATTTTATTTGATATTAACCATAACCTTTATTGTTGTTATAGCCTCATTATGTACCAGACAACTACAAGAGAAATGGAGGCAGGTGAGTCTCACCTACCAGATTGTTCGTTGAGAAGAGATGAGATCGTCCTGTTGGTTTGCCAAGTGTCCACTCTTTTTCCTCCCCAGTGCCCCTGGCTGCTAGGGAAATAATAAGTTTAAATTATTTAAAGCAATCCTCTAAGCTTTCAAACTGATACAAGGGAACAAGTGAGGAGGAAGAGGATGTAGAAGCAGCCTTAGTGTTCCTTAATAATGTGTGTGAGGAGGAGTACAGAAGCCATTTTGAAGGTCAGCCGAAGCAGCTGAATGTGGGAGATGGCAGAGCCCAGGACAAGAGAACCCTGCACGGAGGGAGATGGGGTCCCTGAGCAGACAGCCCGTGTTTGCACTGTAGTGAGAGCCAGGGCTAGGGCACTGCCGCAGTTCTGTTAGAGACTTTAAAAACACCCATTGAGAGCCATGACTGCTGCAGAAAAACATCAGTAAATGCTGAACTCAGCTGTTTTGATAGAGAAAAGCTTTACAATTTGAAATTAAAAAGCAAATTGATTTAAAAATACTGCATTTGACATGATGCAAACAAGGTTATAGGAGCATCGCTCCCGTAGATGGTAACTGGTGGGTGTGAGTGAGATTCCTGAGAGTCTCCACCTGCTGAGAAGTCCTTGACCCACTCGTAATTGGCCTTTCAGGTGAGAGTCTGAAAAAATGTGGTATTTAAACCCTCCTTTTCCTGCTAGGTCGTCCTGGAAAACAGATCGTTCAAAACCACAGATCAAAGACTTAAACCAGGAAGAAGATTCTCTTCCACGTATTGAGGACGTATTAGGAAACCAAGATCAAACTCCGAGTGAGGTGCCCAGCCTGGAGGAGCCGGAAAAAGAGGCAGTCTCCAGTGAGACCTGCGAAACGGATAAAAAGGTGGAAGAAAGCAGTTCCGACACGAGGCAGCTGTGCACTCCCGAGGAAAGGCGGCACATTCAGAGAGAGAGACTTAATCAAATCCTGCTAAACCTCTTAGAGAAAATCCCAGGGAAAAACGGTGAGCTTTTACGCCCCGGTTACACAATGGCGTGTCTTCTGCAGGTTTGGTTTTGGTTCGCTGCAGACTGTGTTGGTAAGATAAGTGCTCTTGTCTGTTCCTCGTATCCCTTCTTCACCAAAAGCCTGTCTGTGCCTGTTGCAGCTATCGATGTCACTTACTTGCTGGAGGAAGGATCGGGAAGAAAACTGAGGCGGCGCACGCTCACCATCTCGGAGAGCAGCTTCAGGAAGTGATGCCACGGGAGGGAGCCGAGGTCTGGAGTCTGCGACAAGGTCTGCTGAGAACTGAGGGCGGGAGCCCGACTTCCTCCACACCAGCCAAGGAAAGGAGGGCAGCAGAAAACAGACAAATATACGAACAGTTAGCACTTAGATGTCTGGGCTGGCAGGCTGCCCTGCCCTGCTCTGCAGTGCTCTTATGGTGTGTGTGTTGTTGGGCGTGCCTTGTATCGATGTTAGGTACTGAGAAAACCTCGTGGGTATTGTCCAGGATGGTCAAATTTAATTTATTTTTGCTTGATATTCTCACTCAGAGGAAAAATTCAGAAAAAAGAAAGTGGGGAGGTAAGAAGGATAAGGACTGACTCACTGTGATGAGAATATTCCCCACGTTCACCACGTAACCTGTGATTGTACGAGATCCTGTTGGCACCACCATGGCCCGTGTCCGTGCGTGAGAGCCGGAGGGAGGGCAGAGGCCCAGTGGCTTAACGTGAAAGGCTGCCCTAAAGTCGTGGCCTCTGATTTGCACAAGTTCCAAGAAGAGAGAAACATACCTGAGCGTGTGAAAGGGTCACCACGGAGCGGCCGGTGCGCACACGTACCTTTGGTCTGTGACGAGGAGAAATCCCAGAGTCACCTTGGAGCCAAGCAGGAGTTGGCTGGTTGAGGCACTTGTTCTGCGTCGTAGAGTGGGGAGGGGATGGGGTGTGATTTTTTTTTTTTTTCACTTTTTTCTGCAGAGAAATTTTATAAAGCAAGTCAAATCCTGACAACACCATTGCTGTTGGTTTTTTGATAAGCTGTGGTTCTTGTGTGTCTAGTGTGTTGTGCAAATTAAAATCTGTTAAAAGAAAAAGAAAAAAAGAAAAAAAAGGAAACCTTCACTACATGAACCGTCAAGCAGTATTCAGAGCGAGTATTTGTTGTGAACTGTAGAATATATCAACTGCTAACACTATTCTTGTGTTCTGGTTGTACAGCTTAAAATGTCCGTCTCTTAAATTAAGAGACAGCGTGTCCCGCGCCGCCCCCTCCCTCTGCCCTGGTGACAAGTATTATTCCGGAAAGCAGCAGCCGAGGCACTGACTTCTCCCTGCATGAGATGGATGCCCACCAGACCCCGCGTGCCAGCGCCGAGCGGGGCTCCCGTCACTGCACCCGTGACCGTCCCGGCGCGCGGAGCATC